AAAAAAAAAAAGAATTTGTGAGAAAGATACATCAACATCCAGATGATTCCACTGGATAATTCTACCTAATAAAGTATTAACACTCATCCTGCATAATCTTCTCCAGAAAATTGAAGAGGAGGGAAAATTTCCCAACTCATTTTATGAGGCTTGCATTACCCTGACACCAAATCTGGGTAAAGACCTTACAAGAAAAAAAAACAAAACAAAACTACAGAACAATACCTTTCATACACATAAACCCAAAAAATTCTCAAGAAAATACATAGCAATGTATAAAAAAGAATAATACACCATGACCAAGGGAAGCTTTTTTCTTGAGAGTGTCAGCCTGGTTCAGTGTTTAAACCTGAATGAATGTTCTCTACCATATTAACAATCCAAAGATGAAAAGTATGTAATCTTATCAACTGATGCAGAAGAAGCATGTGAAAAAATTCTGCATCCATTCACAGTGGAAGGGGAACTTTCTCAATCTGATAAAAGACATGTACAGAAAACCCATAGCTAACATCATGCTTCATGGTGAAAGACTGCTTTGCTCTTAAGATCAGGAATAAGGCAAGGATGTTCATTCTCACTAAGCTTATTCAACATAGTACTGGCAGTCCTAGCTAGTGCAGTAGGCAAGAAAAAGACATACAGCCTAAAAGAAATAAAATGGTCCTCATTTGCAGCAATGCAGCTGTTTCTGCTGAAAATTCCAAGAAATCTGCAAAACTCTTAGAACTAGTGAGTTTAAGCTTAGCAAGATCACAGGATATAAAGTCAACCACAAAACCCAGTCATATTTCTATATATTAGCAATTCACAACTGGAAACTGAAATGTTTAGAAATATTACTTACAATAGCCCCTCCTCCCAAATGAAACACTTAGGTATAAATCTAACAAAACATGTACAGTATCTGTATGCTAAAAACTACAAACTCTGATCAAAGAAATCAGAGATGATCTAAATAAATGGAGACATAATGTATTCGTAGATTGGAAGACGTCTAGTAAAGCTGTCACTTCTATAGAAATTGATGTATGGATTTAACACAAATTATCAATCCAAGATCCCAGCAGGAATTTTTGTAAATATAGACAAGCTGATTCAAAAATTTATACAGAAATGCAAAGAAGTTAGAATAGCTGAAACAGTTTTGAAAACTAATAAAATTGGAGGAATCATACTACCTGATTTAAGATTTATTATAAAAGCAACAGTGGGGCGCCTGGGTGGCTCAGTCAGTTAAGCGTCTGACTTCAGCTCCGGTCATGATCTCATGGTCCGTGAGTTCAAGCCCTGCATCGGGCTGTGTGCTGACCGCTCAGAGCCTGGAGCTTGTTTCGGATTCTGTGTCTCCCTTTCTCTCTGACCCTCCCCCGTTCATGCTCTGTCTCTCTCTGTCTCAAAAATAAATAAATGTTAAAAAAAATTTTTTTTTAATAAATAGATAAATAAATAAATAAATAAAAGCAACAGTAATCAAGAGAGTTTTGTATTGGTGAAGGGACAGAGATCAGAGTCACTGGAACACAAAAGAGAGTCCAGAAATAGACCTGTGTAAATATGACCAATTAATTTTTGACAAAGGTGCTAAGGCAATTCAATGTGGAAAGAATAGTCTTTTCAACAAATGGTATTGGAACAATTGGAACAATGGTATTCACATGCCAGAAGAAAAAAGAGAAAAAACTCACTTTCGTAACATACACAGTCATTCAACATAGATCATTGTCCTACACGTAGGAGCTAAAATTTGCATTTACTTTACAATAGAAAAATAGGGAGAAAAATAATACCAAACATTACATAAAGAAAACAAATGGCCAATAATCACAAAAAAAGTTCAATCATAGTAATAATGAATCAATATAAAACAGCAAGGATACCAAGTTTCCATCAGAATGTCAACATTTAAAAGAAATGATAACATTTAGGATTGCTGAGAGCAATTTGACACAAAATCTCTGAAAGATAATTTGGCAAAATGTTACACATCTTAAAACTATACATACCTTTAAAATCAGTTTTCACCTATCCTATGTAAAAAAATTTTAAATATGGAAATATCTAGTATTTGCCAGATTGTGGAAAAACAGTTCTGCTCACTCATAGATGGAAGGAGTGGTAAAAAATTTGGAAAATAACTTGATAAGACCTAGTAAAACCAAAAGGAAACATGTGGAAGGATGTTTACTGTGGCACTCAGTCTGTAATCGTAAAAAAATTGGAAACAACCTAAATGTTTATCAACTAGTAAATGGAATATTTGATATATTAATTGCATGGAATTCTGTAGTCTGTAAAAGGATTAGACTTTATAATTAAAAAGAAAGTTAAAAACAATATTAAGGAAAAAAATACCTTGCATTTTTAGGACATAAAAATACTATTGTTTATAGTCACACACACACATATGTATATATACATGAAAAATGAACTGCGAAGTAACTAAGACCGCATCAAAATGTACATCAAAATGTAAACAGGTAGAGACTTCTGGCTATGCCTTTGTGAAGAGATCTGTGAATCAACACACACATACACACATAAAATTAAGATGTTCCAAAAATAACCATTTGAGGACACTGGCAATAAATAAGCAGACAACAAATTGGAAAGCATTCTTGCAAAACTGCTAGAGCTTTGGGTAAAGAGAGTCTTCTTGTCTTTGTGCCTGAGGCTGCTCCCATCCACCCACAGCACCAGCTCAGACAGTGAGAATACAGCCATTTGATCAGCAGGGGCTCACCAAGAGAACAGCAACTTTGTGGCAGAGGCTTTGGACTCCATTTGGAGCAAGGGGCAACCCCCCCCCCACACACAATGATTCATCAGATAAAAGTGGCAAACTCAGAAGAAATGCAAGGAGGGAACGCCTTCATACTTGGTAGCCTAAAATTGCTGTCCTGGTTTGTAGGCATTAGAAGCCGGTCAGAAATCTTAGCAGGAAGAACCTGGAAATGAGAGCCAAGAAAAGGCCAGAGAAGCTCTCCCAACATCCCTTGCCAACTGGGAAACTATTTACATGTGTAGGGGAGATATGACAAATAACAACCAAAGAAGACTTGAAATGTGGCAGAGC